GTCCTGGATCACAATTGGCTATACCCTATCACATTAAGTTTTAACTTAGTATAAGTTCCATTGTCTATTCTAAAAAGAAATTGAAAATAAGGTTACCCAGAAAAGATACTGTCAGAACATCGTGAGAATACTGACGAGACACCCTCGCATCTAGTCAAAAACATTCAATTTTCCATTTTTCTAGTTTTTTTCTTTGTTAACATTTCGGACCGGGATTTCTTACTAAACTATCAAATAAGTAGAATCATTGGGACAAAATGCCTATTGAGTGGGGAGGGAGGGGGAGGGAAAAATAAAAAAATAAAAAATTTAAAAACGAAAAAAAAAAAAAAAAATATAAAAAATAAAAATGAAAAATGAAAAATGTAAATGCATTCAGCTAGAGCAAAACGATACTCACATGGGCCAACAAGTGGGTGACTGTCTACATCGTCATGATGATCAGGGAAGAAAGCACTTCCCACTTCTTGTCAGGGAATCAAGCACTCCCCACCTGAGATCAGGGAAGAAAGCACTTCCCACCTCTTGTCAGGGAATCAAGCACTCCCCACCTGTGATCATGGAAGCAAGCACTTCTCACCTGTTATCCCCACCTGTTATCCCCACCTATTATCATGGAAGCAAGCACTTCTCACCTGTTATCCCCACCTGTTATCATGGAAGCAAGCACTTCCCACCTGTGATCAGGGAAGCAAGCACTTCTCACATGTTATCAGTGACGCAAGCACTCCCCACCTGTTATCAGGGAAGCAAGCATTCTCCACCTCTTATCTGGGAAGCAAGCGCGTCTCACCTGTCGTCAAGAAAGCAAGCACTTACCACGTGTTATCCCCATCTCTTATTAGGGAAGCAAACACTTTCCACCTGTTATCAGGGAATTAAACATTTCCCACCTGATATTCCCATCTGGGAACTAAGCACTCCACTCTTGTTATCAGGGAAGCAAGCTCTTCCCACGTTTTAAGCTCACTTCTAATCTGTATGTATATGTGCAAAGCTAATTTTGTTAATGGAGGAAATGATAGAGAATTGCGACTGAAAAGCTTAAAACTGATTTAATATAGTAATTCAAAACTAACAATTGCGAAGGACATCGGCGTTGAGATAAAGGTTAGCGTGACGAGTCTGTCTTGACCAATGCTACCGAGCAGTCAATTAGATCTTCAATGAGTACCCCATACTTTTTTCAAAACTTGGGTTTGGTCATGTTCTTGCTTGGTTCCTGCTCTTCTCTAAGACCTTTGTTGCTCGTTAACATAGGGTTTTACTTGCCTGCGCCACTTTGCTCACGCATCCGGCTGTGTACAATAGAAACTCCTTTTTCATTGATCAAATTCCATAATTTAGTTCCGATACGTTGGCTGGGTATCATCTTTCTCCCATGACGTGATCTGAATCATATTTTGCGAAAACTATTCCGTGTCAAACGACTCACAAGGTATTTTGATATTTTGTTTAGAACTCCGGAAGGGTGTGACATGTATCTTTCGGGTGTGTCCCCTCAGAACATAAAAGGTGCACGTGAGATGTCACGAAAGAGGCCCAGTTTTTTTTTGTTTTTTTTTAAAGAGTTGCTTAATATGTATTTGTGACGAATGGCGTACTGCTTGTCCCAGGTCATTGTCTTATGGACAAATTATATACAAAATTTTAGACTTGTTTCACAACGTTAATTTGATGTGTGTTGAAGGTTTTAAACACTCAGCTGGCCTGTTGTATTTATTAAAACAACTCATTCCAATCAATTCTCTTGATGAATTGAAGTACAGTATTTTCCGGCTAACAAGACGCATTTTTTTTCCTACAAATACCCTGAAAAATACGTGTGCGTCTTTCCAAACGAATGTAAAGAAACGCCCAGGCCTGAACGGTCACCTAATTATCTTGACTGGTAGAGACATGGATTTGTATGTTGAGTCATTACACTATAATGTTAGCTATCTATCTAACTCAACCTTTTATATGATTAACCTAAGTACTTAGCTGTTACAAGTATTTCCAAAACTATAAATCGTCCTGGAGCCGAGCCACAAGCTTAAACGTGCTCTTGACTTATATGTCATTGCCATAAACAAAATTGGACGAATGATTAATGAAAACAATACTCGGCGGCAGTATATGAGGGAAGCATGTGTTGTATGAGAATGACTTCTTTTCTTAGAAATTTCTTTCCAATATTGAGGTGCGTCTTCCAAGATGCATTGTCTTGTAAGCCAGAAAAATACGGTAATTTCCGCGAACTTCAGAGTAGAGATAAATGTGAACATTTTTTTATTTGCTGATAATGCTCTAGTTTTGTGGATGCGTGGTGGTGTAATGGATAGCGCGTCGGAATGAGAATTCGGAGAGCCAAGTTCGAATTCCTGTCGCGTTCATTACATCCACTTATGTTTAAATAACCTTTGCAAAGGTATGGATTCATCTCTTCCTTACACCAGCTATAAGTAAATAGCAGGATAACGCTATGAGAATGAAAACTCTGAATTTCAACCAGCTTTGAGAGGTTTGGTTAGGCACCGTCAGGCTATCTTGTTCGTGACACACCGCAGCATCTACCTTTGCACTACGGGTGGTGCCCCTATATCTCCAATGATTATTTAGATAACAAATGCGGATATCAATGTTACACATTTTCACACCCAGAGGGCGCAGCCCAACATATTACGCCATTTTAGACTCAGGCCGACTCCATGATCAAATTAAAAACATTCCGGGCCGGATACGAACCCGCAATCCTGAAATTTGGGATTCTCAAATTTTCATTATGACGAAATTCGCGACGAATTTTTCCTACGGTAACAATATTTATAACTTGGAAATAAACTTGGAAACAATCTAAATTAATTGCACAATCTAGCGAAAGTCACGCATGCAATAAAATTAATTGTTTGTACGGAAATTAAGGACCTACGTGCATCAAATTTTCTTTAATTTAAATGTCGGCAGAAGAATTATCGTTGAACTTTTAAAAGGTAAACTTAAATATTAAATGCAGCGATCAATACACTATTTACATTATTCGGACTATTGTCCCCATCTTTGTTGCCATATCTACCACAACGTTTCGGCCGTTGTACGCTCCGACTTTCTTCAGGTAGTAGGAATGTCAAATTGAACCCTTTATTTCGCCCGCTGGGGTAGACTGTTCTAGTTCCACGTGCCATGTCTAATGGATGTCAGTTATCATTAGGTTTATAATACCCAGAAATTCACACACAGATGTCCTCAAGGACACATGGTACACTGGATAAAGGCATCAGTTAGATCCAGTGTTAGGATCCAAAGTATTTGAGTTCAATACCTGGTTAAGGCAATGGAGAACTTGGAGAGAGGCAAGAAAATGGAAGAGAGTTCCACAGGCGTCAAGCGAGAGAAAAGAAACTATATATATATATATATATGTAATATATATATATATATATATATATATATATATATATATATATATATTCATATAACGTATGAATATAATATATATATAAATGTAATTAAAACCATCAAAATAATTTATATATATATATATATATATATATATATATATATATATATATATATGAAAAAAGGCTTAAACACTAATATTCCATGGTCATAATTTATTCCATTGGAATCGTAAATACGATCCAATTCATCAGACCTACAAATTCAAAAAGAAAGCAGAAAAAACAACTCCGGGAATAAAAAAAAAAATTTAGTGAGAGTGTATGTATGAGAGTGTGGGACGAATGTTAGAGTAAAGGAAAGCTATAGGGAGGGGTAACAGACGAGAGAAGAACAGGAAGGTATAAAGATGAAGGGGGAGATTAAAATTTAACAGAGAGAAGTTTTAAAGAGGGGAGTCATAGACGGTTTAAGTGAGGGAAATATGAATGTTCTCGGATGTCTAATACATTAAAGATATATTAAATTCTCTCTCTCTCTCTCTCTATATATATATATATATATATATATATATATAAATATATAAAAGAGGATAGAATCCAGATAGAACTCAACTCAATGTCCAGGACAGAGTAAGAACAATATAAAAGGCTCAAACACTAACATTCCTTGGTTATAATTTATTATATTGGAATCGTAATCACGATCCAATTCATCAGACCTACAAATTCAAAAAGCCTTACAAATTCAAAAATTTTTTTGAATTTGTATGTCTGATGAATTGGATCGTGATTACGATTCCAATATAATAAATTATAACCAAGGAATATTAGTGTTTGAGCCTTTTATATTATACTATATATATATATATATATATATATATATATAGATAGATAGATAGATAGATAGAGAGAGACAGAGAGAGACAGAGAGACAGAGAAATAGATATAGATAGATGTAATATCTATGCATATATAAAATCTCTTGTTTATTTGATCATTAATTGTCTATTTTATAGTGCTATTTTCAAAATGGGCTTTCGTCTTCCCTGGATGATTCTTAGCTATGGAGTTCTTTTTGAAGACATTAAGTTTCCGAAAGGTCGGGATAATTTTATTTCTTTCCTTTTAAGTTTTGGAATTCTATTTTCTGATTCAGCCACCCACCCCGCTCCCCGACACATAGATTTCAATTTTTTCCTTTCTTTCTTTTCTTCTTAACGTGCTTTTTTTTTTTAAAAACATACCATATCCAATTCAACTACTTTTTCAGATTAGTTGTGTTTATTATTATGTTTGACAACATGGTCTTATATTCTATATCTTTCATATTTGAAAAACAGCAAATGTCTTCCATATATTTCATCAAATTTTTTGCCCCGATGGAAATTTTTATTGAATTACAGAGATCGTTTAAAAGCTGCTCACAGCTGATATACAGTATACGGAATGAGTCAGCGATGATCATGGAAGAAGGCAGTCGGGTTTGTTTCTACTGACCCAGTTAAATGGCCTGGTGATTCAAAAAAAATGTCGATTCATTTGTTTTCCATTTTTAAAATTGGAAGCTAAAATAAACAAAGATTTTGATTAAGTGGTGACCCAATTAACAGGTGACTACTAATGTATACAACCCTCCCTCTATCTTTCATTTTCTGTCTCTCACTATCTATCTATCTATCTATCTATCTATCTATGTGTATGTAGGGGAATGATGAGATAAAGTTGTAAATTTTTAGTTGAATTGATGAAGCCGAAAAAAACATAAGATTTCTCCAGCGAGATGCGTGTTTGATTAAAAAAATTTTCAATCATCATTCTTAATTTTGCTTCAGAAACTATTGGACATCCAAAGCATATACATATATATATTAAGAAAAACATACAGAAAAAACAAACAAAAATTTTAATATGCAGTTGCATATTTAGATTTTTATTAGTTATTCAGTATATTTTCTTTATATATATATATATATATATATATATATATGTATGTATATATATGAATATGTATATATATATATATATATATATATATATATATATGTATATGCATATACATGCATACATATATAAACACATACATATATATACATACATATATACATATATATATACAGGTGCATACATATACATATATACAGATGCATACATATACATGTATACACATACATACATGTACATATACATACATATATATATACAAATACATATATACAGATACATATATATATATACATGTATACACATACATACATACATATATACATACATTCATATACATACACATACAAACATATGTATACACATATATGCATAGATACACATATATATATATATATATATATATATATATATATATATATATATATATATATATATATATATACATACATACATACATATATATATATATAGACATACATACATATTTAGATACATACATACATATATAGACATATATACGTACATGGATATATATACATACATATATATGCATATATATACATACATATATACATATATATATATACATAATATATATGCACAAGCATACACATATATATATGTAATACATATATACACATACATATATATATATACACATACATACACATACATTCATATATATATGCAAATACATGCATATATATATACATATATATACATATACATACATACATACATATATATATATATATAGACCTGTATACATATACATATATACATATACATATATATACATATATACGCATACATACATATATAAACATTCATACACATACTTTCATATATATATGTATATACACACATACATACATACATATATATATATATATACACATACGAACATACATATACACATACGTACATATATATATATATATATATATATACACATGCATACATATATATGTACACAAACATACATGCATATGCATACAAATACATACATATATATATATACATACATATATACACATATTTACATATATATACACATGCATAAATGTACATATATACTTACATATATATATACACACATACATATATATACTCATACATACATTTATATACGCATATATATATATATATATACACATGCATCCATATATATATATACATATATATGCATATATACAAATACATACATATATATATACACATACATACATATATACACAAACATACATACATATATATATATATATATACACACACATACATACATATACATTCATACATAAACATAGATACTTACACACACATATATATATATATATATATATATATATATATATATATTTCTAAAGAAGTAATGATTTTTTAATTAATTAATCCTGGAGATTTTATCTCCGAAAGAATCAGCTGAATGAACAAAATCTTTAGGATTAATAAATACAAATTCCACTAATACGCTTGAAAATTACTTTGTTTTCGTCTGGATACAAAAATTTCGTGAAACTATCACGAGAGTAATCGCGCTTAAATGCACTGTTCAGCCTTACCTGGATGACTCAGTTCTTTCTAGCTTGGTCGGTCTAGAGCACATAGGATCGAGACCGGCAAGTTCCCTCTGCACAGGGAACGCAGGTTCGTATCCTGCTGAAGAGAGCTGATGCTTCTTTAATTAGATTTATCAAATATTCAGGCTGGTGGACAAAAATGAATAAAGATACTCTTTGATGGATAAACGGAGTGTCTATTCAAATCCGAGTATCCAGCAAAAATATATATATATATATATATATATATATATATATAGAGAGAGAGAGAGAGAGAGAGACAGAGACGCTTACCTTCTCGAGAGCACCTCTCTGTGGCTGCTGGGTCTCACGTTGACTGCTGACCTGACATGGAACAAATACATTGAGTCAATTGCTTCGTCCACCACAAGGAATGTTGGCTCCATGTGCCGCGCCAGGAAATTTTTCTCCCCGGAATCGATCCTTCAAATCTACAAATCAACCACTCGCCCTTGCATGCAGTATTGCTGCCATATATGGTCTGGAGCCCCTTCTGTTTGCCTCGAGGTTCTTGATAAGATCCAGAGGCGGATATGCAATATAATTGGCCCTGTTCTGGCATCTCGTCTACAGTCACTCTCTCACAGAAGCGCCGTCGCCTCTCTCTGTCTTTTTCTTACAAATACTTTCATGGCAATTGCTCCGAGGAGCTGCATTCGCTGGTTCCGAATTCAAGCGCCCTACGAGGCTGGCATACCGCTCTCACCCTTTCACTGTCGAAACTATTAAATGTAGCCGTCTCTTCTACTTCAATAGCTTCATATCTCGCACCTCTCGCCTGTGGAACTCCCTTCCTTATTCCAGTTTCCCTGGGAGCTATAATTTCCAACTATTCAAATGTAATGTCAATCGACATCTCCAGTTACCTTGATCTATCCACAACCCTTCTCCTCATCCTTTCCTCTATCACTCCTATCTGCTCTTGCTCCAAATCTTTTGTAACCCCTTGCGTCCTAGTGGCTTCCCGTCTTGCTTGGGGTGAAACGCTTAAATAATATAAATATATATAGTTTTGTGCATTAGTTACCATTTATTCCGAAGAATAATACGGTACTAACACTCAAGAACACCTTCTAATCTGTTCAACTTCCACTCTCTCATTTATTTATTATAATTTTATCATATAGACAAAACCAATACACATACATACTCACTACAAAGATGCAACTTAGTTTCAGTGCATTTCAACTGCACTTCGACGGGTGAGAATCTAAAATGGTTATGAAAAATCTTGCTTGTAGGCAAGCCGGATAAAATTATAATAAATAATTATCGCTCTACTATCGGTATCGATCCCTCTTTTGGATTAATGTTCTGAACGTTGGAATTTATATATTACTTTCGTTCCCATCGCATCGGGTATATCTATCTATCTCTCTCTCTATATATATATATATAGGTATATCTATCTATCTATCTATATATATATATAAATGTAATAATATATATATATATATATATATATATATATATATATATATATATATATATATATATATCTATCTATCTATATATTCCTCTATCCTCCTATCTGCTCTTGCTCCAAATCTTCTGTAACCCCTTTCGTCTGGATACGAAAATTTCGTGAAACTATCACGAGAGTAATCATGCTTAAGTGCCCTGCATACATACATATATATATATATATATATATATATATATATATATATATCAAAAGCTCTTTAATGTTACAGAACACGATTGGTTTTGGAGATGGAAAACTCTTACACGAAAAGCCCGAGTTCTATTGTCTGCTTCGTCTGTGGCATTTATTTGCATCGACTAAGTGTATCAATAGTTCCGAAAAGCGCGGATGGTTCTGCACAAGCCTTCACCACTTTAATCAAATAACTTGTGTCGGTTTTCTGGCGGTTTACCTTGATTCGTTCTTATCCAAATTGTCAGCAGTCAATGTACCACATAACACCCTTGAGTTCTTAGCCATTGAGCGGGTACAATGGAGAGCAACGTGTTTTCAATCAGCTTGTCTGAATCATCGTCAAGAAGCAAGAACAATATCTAAAAGGTCAGGCAATCTAACAGTGATCTCATCTCACAATCCTCAGGCTTGCTCTATATGTGGCCTTCTTTGTAAATCACTAGCGGGTCTTAAATGCCGCTTAAGATTATCGCATGTAAGCTGTCAGATCCTCATATGTCGAAACCGACGAGAGAGTCCATTATATATATATATATATAGATAGATAGATAGATATGCATATATATATATATATATATATATCTGACTGACATCAAATCGGTTGCGTTTCGATCCAGAATTTTGGCATTCGGTTTTCTAGTTGCACTGAGGATTGAGATACAGCGAAACAGTACTGTCTGCGAATGACATAATTTAGCTCTTGACAATATATTTTCGATTGAACACAACTAAAAACAACCTTCCACTGCTTAAATGCGAAGCTCTTCAGTAAAATGAATGGAGCACTTTGGCTGCTTGACGTTTGTTTACTCTTGTAAAACAATACGCTAGATTTGGGTGATTCATTCTGTCGAGTGAAAGTGGCTCAGTGGTAGCAGCTCTGGTTGGGTTTCGATCCGTGCTTGAGGCATTCAGTTGTCTAGTCGCACTGATGAACTGTGATACAACGAAACATTACTATATATATATATATATATATATATATATATATATATATATATATATATAGTAATGTTTCGTTGTATATATCAAAAGCAAATATTGTATATATATATATATATATATATATATATATATATATATATATAGAGAGAGAGAGAGAGAGAGAGAGAGAGAGAGAGACCTTGATTTGTCTATGTGTACTATTTCGTTGATCTTGTATAAAATATACAGCCCTATTAATTCTGAAACCTCAACACCATCAAAAGAATGATTTGAGTTCCGCTTAGGCCTTTGTCAAAAAACATCTATAGATATAATTTTACATTGCCGTAATTCTCTATTATTCCACAACTGATGACCATGTATCAAAAATCAGAAAAAAAGGGCGATTTCGATGTACCACAAGGTTCGTTTCCAAATTTCTGGTGGAGTGAATTTCGTCATGGTCGTTTTTTTCTCACAGACGATGCCCCACTAATCCTACTATGCAGTGCAGGCGACAAAAAAAAAAATAAAAAAAAATAAAACTGCGCGTATGCGCCAAATTAAAAGTATAAAATTGCGACAGTT